CCACCTTTGCCCCGCATATGTCTCCGACTGTGGGGCCGAGCTGGGGGCCCTTTCTTCTGTTGCTTCTTTGTCGGGGACTTTGGGGTCTCTAATTCGGGAGCATGCAGCAAAGGAAGCAAGTGCAGCAGCAGCAGCAGCAGCAGCAGCAGCGGGCGAGCAGGACCTGCATTCCTGCCCCAACTGCCACCGGCCGCTGCTGCTGTGTCCCTACTGCCTGGGCAGGTCGCTGCAGCTCAACTTGCTGCAGGGGAAGGTGGTGATTCAGTGCAGCAACTGCTGCAGCCAGGCGGAGGCAGCAGCAGCAGCAGCAGCAGCAGCAGCAGCAGCAGCGACGACAGCCGCCTCCCTGCCGCCGGCGGGGGCGGCTCCTGCGGACGCTGCTGCTGCGGCGGCAGCCGCCGCAGCAGCAGCAGCGTCTGCTGCTGCCGAGGGGTCCCTCCCGGACGCTGCGGAGACCGCAGCAGCAGCAGCAGCAGCAGCAGCAGCAGCAGCAGCAGCAGCGGAGTCCCCCTGCGCGGCTGCGAGCGGCGCGAGCGCCTGCAGCAGCACGGCGCCGCCGCCGACGCCCCCGTGCGCGCCGCCCGCAGCAGCAACCACCAGCAGCAGCAGCAGCAGCAGCAGCAGCAGCAGCAGCAGCAGCAGCAGGCGGGGCGTCTACACGCACTGCTGGGAGTGCAACTGGGACTTCAGCCGCAGCGTGGAACTTCTTGCTGCTGGCGAAGCAGCACTTGATGGCATTTTGTTGAAAAAGGGAAAACATTTGCACCAGTGGCAGGCCAGGTTTTATGTCCTCATCGACAACATGCTCTACTACTACAAAAAAAAGGTCTGCTGCTGCTGCTGCTGCTGCTGCTGCTGCTGCTGCTGCTGCTGCTGCTGCTGCTGCTGCTGCTGCTGCGGGGTGCAGGGCTGGCTGCTGCCGCTGCCGTGGGGGCGTCGGCGGGAGGGTGCTAGTTGATCTGCTGCCCCTGCAGCAGCAGCAGCTGCTGCTGCTGCTGCTGTGGCTGCTGCTGCTGTGACTGCTGCTGCTGCTGTAGCTGCTGCTGCTGCTGCTGCTGCTGCTGCTGCGCTGCTCAGGAGCAGCAAGAGTGGGTGGATGCGCTGCGGGCCTCAACTCGGCAGCAGTCCCTGGAGCATGTTTATGAGATCCACGAGCAGCTGGGCCAAGGTCAGTTTGTCTCTTTTTGTCTCCTTTTTGGCTTTTTTGTCTCCTTTTTTGGCTTTTTTTGTCTCCTTTTTGATCCTTTTTTGTCTCTTTTTCAGACCCTTTTTGTCTCCTTTTTAATCCCTTTTTGTCTGCCTGTAGCTGCTGCTGTGACTGCTGCTGCTGCTGTAGCTGCTGCTGCTGCTGCTGCTGCTGCTGCTGCGCTGCTCAGGAGCAGCAAGAGTGGGTGGATGCGCTGCGGGCCTCAACTCGGCAGCAGTCCCTGGAGCATGTTTATGAGATCCACGAGCAGCTGGGCCAAGGTCAGTTTGTCTCTTTTTGTCTCCTTTTTGGCTTTTTTGTCTCCTTTTTTGGCTTTTTTTGTCTCCTTTTTGATCCTTTTTTGTCTCTTTTTCAGACCCTTTTTGTCTCCTTTTTAATCCCTTTTTGTCTGCCTGTTTGTGGCCTTTTGTCTCCTTTTCTTGACTCCTGTTTGTCTCTTTTTTGGTCTCTTTTTGTCTCCTTTTGTTTCTTTTTGTGTCTCTTTCTACCGCTTTTTCTGTCCCCGTGTGTCTCTCCGCACGCCTTCTCCTCTTTACTGGGCTATGAACAGCTAGCTAGCTAGTTGGCTAGCTAGCTAGCTGGCCAGCTAGCTAGCTGTCTGGCTAGCTAGCTAGCTAGCTAGCTAGCTAGCTAGCTAGCTAGCTATCTGGCTCGTTAATTAGCTAGCTAGCTAGCGAACTACCCCGTGCTGGCCCCACCCAGCTAGCTCCCTAGCCAGCTAGCCACCCAACCAACCAGCTAGCCAGCCAGCCAGCTAGCTAGCTAGCTAGCTAGCTAGCTCGCCAGCTAGCTAGCTAGCTAGCTAGCTCGCCAGCTGGCTAGCCAGCCAGCTCTCTAGCTAGCTAGC